AACTGGCTTCTGGCTGCAAGATGTCAGTGATATTTTAATGCGAAAGAGGTATCTGCCACCCTCAGTAGACAGCTCCACAAGGCAGGGCACCAACCATTGTACACTCAGTCCAGCTCAATGCCTGGCACAGAGGATCTTAGAAACTATAATATAATAGTGCATAGAATTTTTAACTTCATTTTTTTGTAAATCAACCTAATCTTAGCCTTGAATTTGCTGAGAAGCAGAAAATGTAATCTTAGTCAATTCTGGGTTTTCTCAAAATATTTCTGTTTTACACTTAATTGTTTCCCCACTTCCCCTACACCAGAGGTTGGCAAACTTTTGAGATGGAAGAGCTGCCAGGGGTCAGCAAACTGCAGCTCGCGAGCCACATGCAGCTCTTTGGGTGTGTACATGTGGCTCTGAAGAAAAATTGAAAATGAAAATAAAACTATCATAGTTTCATTTATAATATTACTTTAAATTTTTCTTATTTGTAAAAATATGTTTATGGCTCTTAAATAATTTTTAAATTGTTGTGAGGGACATGATTGGGTCTTCCAGGGGTCGGCTAACTTTTGAGATGGAACGAACCCAAGGAGCCTCAGTTTGCCGACACCTGCCCTTTTTTTTTTCTCAGAGGGAACAATTCCCTGGTGCATATATTCTGCCACAGCACCTCAGGGAGAGCAGAGACAGTGTGTAATATTGTACCTCACTGGGTTGTGCCTCCACGACTATTGGTGAATTGAATGATGTTAGTGGGGGAGATATTTAGGGAAGCATCATGGTCATCAATCAGCACCTACTATGAGATAATTCCTGTTGGAACATGTCCTTTCTTACCTTCAGGAATCATCACTCCTTTATGTTGGCCTTTGCAGCTGAGATGCATGTGTTTCTACTTGATCTCTAACTATAAGGTTCATTCTCCCATCTGCTCTCCTCATTCAGACCACAAAGCTTCTTCAGCTTTTTTGTTTGTTTTGTTTTAATTTCCATCTATATATCTCATGGCCACGTTGGTAAGAACTAGCAGCAAAATCAGTAATTGGCTGCTTCCGATTCTTCTTGAGGGGCAACAGGATCACGCGAGGCTGCTTAGGATCTTCTATCTGGATATTCCTTTACCACTGTTTCCGCTTTATTCTTTTGTGTCTTATTGGTGCAGGGAACTTCTTTAAAGGTTTGTGGTTGGGACAAGGATGCAAATTGAAGTGATTTTCATCAAAGTTTCCTTTTTTTCTTCTTCCTCTCTTTTTCTCTCTTCAATGAGAATCTTGGTTAGACAAAGTGAAAATTGTATATGTAATTGGGAGAAACATGTTTCATTTTACTCACATATTCTTGTAAATCTTTTCAGTTTTACACCTGGACTTTAGCTTTTGAATTAAAATAAGAGTGTGGTGTCTGTGTTTTCTCCCCTTGAAAGTGCTGGATACAGCCACTCAAATGTAGGATGATTAGGGTAAAAAGGATCTGCAAGGTAACCCATTACTAGTAAGTCACTCTATCCTTCTGCAACAGATGCAGAAAGATTTGCTGCTTCGATAGTAGCAGATAGCCTGCAGTTTGAATTTTAATGTATGCCTTGATACAAAAATAAAAAGTTGGTATGAGAAAAAGAGGACAGTAGATAGAAATCTCTTAATCAGGCTCTAAATAAAAAACTGGAAAAAATAAAGTGGAGCCTAAGTCTCAACAAAAATTATTTCCCCCTGTTTTATTGTGATATAACTGTCATACAAGCTGTTGCAATTAAGTTCACAAACTTGCCACCATGTGCTTACATTGACAGCACTGTACAAACAGCTCAGTAAGGTTTCATAACCTTGGTATATCAGTGTCTCACAGCTGTGTTCTTGTCAACGTGTGGCGGTGTCTTGCTGAGTGGCATTCATTATTGTTGCCTGTTTTTGTGTGCCATCATGAAAATGTCTGAGCTTGAATTAGAGCAATGAACAAACATTAAACTTCTTGTTAAACTTGGCAAGAGTGGAAGTGAAATCAGGGACATCTTAGTCCAAGTTTATGTGGACAATGTCATGAAGAAAATGGCAGTGTACAAATGGATTAAATGTTTTCTGAGGAGAGAGAATGCGTCACCGATGAAGAGAGGTCAGGGTCGCCAGTAACGAACAGAAATGACAAAAACATTGCAAAAATTCTTTGAATTTTGCATCAGAATCATCAGCTGACTGTGATAAGCATAGCAGACCAAGTGAATATTGATAGAGAAACAGGAAAATCTTAACTGAAAATCTTGGCATGATAAAGGTGTGTGCAAAAATGGTCCTGAAAGAGCTTACTGATGAACAAAAGGGAAGGAGAGTTGAAGTTTGCCAAGACCTTTTGGAGAGACAAGACGATGATTTGAGCCATGTTATCACTGGTGATGAAACATGGGTGTACCAATATGACCCTGAAACAAAGCATCAAAGTGCACAGTGGAAGTCAGCCAATTCTCCATGACCAAAAAAGTTCTGTCAGTCCATATCAAGAGTCAGACGATGTTGGTAAACTTTTTGTTATCAGAAGGATTATTCATTATAAATTTGTACCAACTGGACAAACAGCTAACCAAATTTACTATTTGGAAGTGCTGAAAAGGCTGCATGAAAAAGTTAGACGAAAATGACCTGAACTTTTCGCCAACAATTAATGGCTCTTGTATCACAACAGTGTACCAGCTCACATAGCACTGTCTGTGAGGGAGTTTTTAGCCAGTAAACAAATAACTGTATTGGAATATCCTCCCTACTCACCTGATCTGGCCCCTGATGACTTCTTTCTTTACCCAAAGGTAAAGAAAATATTGAAACAAAAACATTTGGATGACATATAGGACACCAAGGGTAATATGACTACAGCTCTGATGGCCATTCCAGAAAGAGTTCCAAAATTGCTTTGAAGGGTGGACTAGGCACTAGTGTCAGTGCATAGCTTCCCAAGGGGAGTGCTTCAAATGTGACCATAGTGATATTCAACAGTGAGGCATGTAGCACTTTTTCTAGGATGAGTTCATGAACTCAATTGTCAGACTGAACACAGCACTGTATAAGTTTAAGGTATACAGCGTAATGACTTGATTTATATAATGTGAAATGGCTACCACAGTACATTTAGCTAATATCCATTGTCTCATACAGCTACAAAAAAAGAAAAAAATGTTTTTTCCTTGTATCTGCATGGGTTGGTGATGTCACCTCTTTCAAGT